AATCCAAATCCGAACATACGCCTCTAAGTCCGAAATCATCATACGAAGCTATTGCCATCATCGAAATTCCATTCCGGGGTCAATTGCTCAAAAGTCAACTCTCCAGTCAACTCTTTCTATTTTAAGCTTCTAAATATGAATTGTTCTTTCAATTTAATTCTGAATCTTCCGAAAATCAAACTCGACCACACCCGCGGGTCATAATACATATTACGAAGCTGCTTGAGACCTTAAGTCACTGAACGGGACGTTAATTCTTAAAACGACAAGTCGGGTCATTACATTCTCCACCTCTTAAACAAACGTTCGTCCTCGAACGTGCTAAGAATTATTCTAAGGACATTAAATTACTGAGTGTATTATTACACACCTACTAGCGTGCGATTCTATGTTTTGCAATTTAACATGGGTCCGATAACACCATCTCAATTGAGATTATTTCTTTTATCTATACATATAAATCTTAAAACCAATTTCTTACACTCCTAACATGTTCAAAAGGCCTGATTTTCACATCAACGCATGATATTAGTCTCAACTGGCTATAGCAACTCGTGCCTATGCACACATCAACTTTCTTGATAGTGTTGAAGTGCTTCAAAAATTTTCTGGGGTGTTACATTCTCCCCTGCTCAGGATCATTCGCCCTTAAACACATAACATAACTTATCTCTTCTTTTGCACGTCTCAATCCCCCAAATTTTACTAACTCCCAAATTTTTCAGAAATTTCGGCAGAGTCTCCCCTGTAATTGGGCCTATCCACCTGCCAGAGTAACACCAAAATAATTCCTAACAACACATCCACAACCCAACAAAATACCACAATGTATATATCAATAACACTAATCTCAGCGTCACAAGCACTGCATTATCATAATGATATCAAGACATGAAGTACATCATATGTATGCCTATCACCACATTTCTGGTATTAATAGTTGTTCATAATCGATTACAACATCGCCAATTAACCTCATATTAACCCAAACCTCGTTTCACATTTTCACAACACTGACAGTAAAATATGAGGCATGAAGACCTCATAACTATTTACCCGACTTAACGAGCCACATTTAACGCCGCCTGGGCACTCACCTCATAGGTTAAAACTCAATATTTTCTCACAATTATGGATAAATATGCACAGAAACACATAAAAGAATTATCAAATAAGCCTAAGAGGCATGTCTCCATATTACTACTATAGTACAAATTTTAATTTCACAAAAGGAGAATTTAAACTCATAAAATTTTCACAAGGACCTCGTCCTTATATAACTTACACCGCGGCTCGTAGCCCAATTTAAATATTTCACATCATATAAAAATGAGAGGATCTCGTCCTCAATTCCGAATCAGAAGTATTTTGCACATTGTACCAACTGAAATTTCAATTTTCTTTCTTTCTTCTTTTCAATAAATTTCGTAAATATTTTTCATAACACATAATGAACCCTCATATCGGTAGGACATATAATTCATAAAATTGGAATCAATTATTTCGAAACACATTAAACCCACTATAATGAATAATAAAAGTTACTTTTGGACTCATAGCCCTCAATGGTGTACAAAAATAAAAATGACAGATACGATCTCACATCTTCAAATCTCCCAACAGGGATAAACATATAAGCGGGTCATAAAATTACGAAGCTCACCCATAAGCGGAGCATAATAGGAGGACTCACTTCAATATTCAGAACCGAATCAAATTAAGGGAAAATATTCGTTTATAACCAATCAGGATCGTACTTGTAACGACACCATCCGGTGTATCGGCCTTAGCCAAATCATAGCGATTATATCAACGGGTCGGGCCTCCACCTCTTAGGCGCCCACTACCCGCCTGTCCTCCACCTCTAACGGACTGTGCACGTGGAGTATTAACTAGAATAAAGCTTGTAGCTGGAGTGCTCTGATAAAATCCACCCCTCCCAAGACTGGGACAATCTCTCATGATGTGCCTAGTATCACCACACTCATAACAACCCCTCTGAGGTCGCGGTTGCTCGTACGGAGTCTGTGCCAGATAATTGAAATAATCATTATAAGAATCTCATGCCGGTGGTATATAAGAACTTATTGGAGCACTCCGAGTAATTTGATGTGCGGACTGAGCTGGCCGACTGCTCGAGCCTCCGCTATAATGGGTCCTAGCTGAAGAGTAAAATCCATTGAACCCTCCAGATCTTCGAGACCTTTTGGTCTCCTTAGACTCCCTTTCCTCTCCTAAAACACCCTCAATCTTACTTGCAATCTCCACTACTTATTTAAATGGAGTATCAGTTTGCAACTCTCGAGCCATGCAAATTTTAATATCATAATCGAGCCCTCAATGAATCTGCAGACCCGCTCTCTGATTGTAGGAACCAAGATAGGTGTATGACGAGCTAACTCGCTGAACCTAATAGCATATTCTGACACTGTCATAGTGCCTTGACGCAACCGTTCAAACTCTGTGCGCCACACATCTCTGAGAGTCTGGGGAACAAACTCTTTCAAGAACATTTCCGAAAATGGAGCCCAAGTTGGTGGTGTTGCATCGGCTGGTCTACCCTCTTCATAGATTTGCCACCACCGATATGCTGCGCCTGACAGTTGAAATGTAGTAAAGACAACTCCGCTCATCACCAGCAACCGGATATCCCGCCAAACAACTTAAGGTATCAAGATTCGACCCAGCATGAGCTCTAATCAAATTATATTCACAGGTTTAGGTAATTAAACTAATAAGTTGAGTGCAAGTAATACAAATATCACATGATAGAGTCCTAAGTCTACTCGGACTTAAGCATGATTTTAGCTACGTACGGACTCTCGTCACCTTGTGCGTACGTAGACCTCACAACAAGTAGCACATAACAAAATACATCACCTATGGGGTAATTTTCCCCTCACAAGGTTAGACACGAGACTTACCTCACTCTAAAATTCCATAACTGGCTCTAATGCCTCTCCAACACCTCAATTCAATGCCAAACGATCCAAAACTAATTAAACAACGTGCAAACAAATCAAAATATACTCCAATACTCTTAATTTAATAATTTATAACAATTTCCAACTCCGCTCGAAAAGTCAACAAAGTTAACCCCCAGCCCACGTGCCCTGATTCCGAAACTTTTCAAGGATAAACATTACTCATAACACCACGAACTCAAATATGTAATTTATTCCTAATTCTATATCCAATTTCGTGTTCAAAATCCAAAAATTCAATTTCTAGGTTTTCTTCAAAAGTTCCATAATTTCTACAAATTTTCATGTTTAAATCCATATATAACTTATGTATTTAGCTCACAATGTACAGGAATTCACTTACCACATGATGGATGATGGAATGACACTTCAAAATCGCCCCAAGCTCGGCTCCCATGGAAGAATTGAGATAAAATGAACCAAAAATCCATTTTTGCAAAATTATACACTGCCCAGTCGACCCTTCTTCGCGAACACGGCAAGTCCATCGCGTTCGCGGAGCACAATCATCTTCTGCTCCCCAATTCCTCTAGAGAATGCAAGAAAGGACTTGCGAACGCAAAGCTTTACCAGGCTTCGGTTCGCAAATGTGGCATCGCCTACGCGAATGCGAAGGCCAAGTCACCGCGAACGCGAACCTGGCATAGCGAACGCGAAGCATTACTGACCATACACACGAGACCTCAATCGCGAACACGAAGAATAGATCTCCACTAACTCCAAATCCTTCTTCGCGAACGCGAGCTTCCCTACGCTTTCGCAAAGAACAAAATCAGAACCAGCAAACCAACAACAACAATTCACCTAAACTTGGTCCGAAACCATCCCGGAATACACCCGAGGCCCCCAGGACTCCGTCCAATCACACCAACAAGTTTCACTACCTCATTCAAACTTATCCAAAGGCTCGAAACGCCACAAATAATATCAAAACCATGAATCGACGATCAAAATTCTTCTTTTAACTTCCAAACATCAAACTTCGTCGAACGCGTCCGAATCACACCTAGACATTCCAGAATGACGTCAAATTTTACGTACAAGTCACAAATCACAATACGAACCTATTCCAAGTCTCGGAATCCCATATGGATATCGATATCACCAAAGTCTACTTCAAATCGAACTTAGAAAATTTTAAAATCTTCACAATGCCAACTTTCCACAAGAAGCGTCAAAACGCTCCTGGACCATCCGATTCTCAAACCGAACATATGCCCAAGTCCAAAATCATCATACGAACCTACTGGAACCTTCAAATACCAATTCCGAGGTGATTTACTCAAAAGTCAAGTGTTGGTAAAGTCTTTCAACTTAAAGCTTCTGAATTGAGAATTATACTTCCAAATCAACTCCGAACTTTGCGAAAACCGAAACCGACCACACGTGCAAGTCATAATACATAAAGTGAAGCTATTCAAGGCCTCAAACTGCCGAACGACCGCGCTAGAACTCAAAACGACTGATCGAATCGTTACATTATCCTCCTAGAATATTTACTTCGAAAATTTATAGATTCTCTAAGGTCGTTTATGTCACATTACATTTTACCTGCTTGATGGCCAAATTTTTTTAATTGATTACTTATATATGGAAGATGCATGACTAATTTGATTTTATTGGGAAATGGAAGGGTAATCACGTATTTGTGTTGAATTATTCTTGCTTAGGCAGCCGGATAAGTGATTTAAAAAAAAAATTATTCTCTCCCTTATAAAAAATTTCACAGGTAAAACAATGTAGATTAGTAGTAATTTGGTACTTATATAGTTTCCCATTTCAAAACTTACAAATTCCATTTTAAGTAATCATTCCAACAGTCATTAATAGAAGTAAGTACTCATCCAAATGTTGATTATTTGTATTAACGAAAACACAAAGAAAAGAGAAAAAAGAAGAAAGAAAAATGAAGGGCCTTAAAAGACAAAGACAACACTAAAGGGGTTTTAGAAGGGTTTTAGCAAGTGCAAGGTAAATACGACGTCGCAGAAGCATGACTTATCTAGTCCGGAGACGAGAAAAGGAAATCAGAAATCAGGAATTAGCCATTGTTGGAGTTTTGTCTCAGCTCCCAATAGTGAAGCATGACCCATTTTCTCAGCTTGGATACATCAATTTCCGCCACCACAAATCTCTCAATCTTTCACACCCCCTTTTCACCTTCCAATGCAGTAATATTACCCTTAGTTTCTCCCAAATCTCTGGCTTTGCCCTTAGAGAATTCCAAGAAATCAGCATCAAGAACACCAACTAGAACTAGTACTAAAACCCCATTAACCAGTAACTACTTTGTCATCTTTTCTTTTATTGTTATCTTTTTATTTTTTTCACTTTTCTTGATTTATAATTTTTTTTATGGTTCCTTTTTAGAGGTATTGGCCAGTGGTGTAGCTGCTACTTCAGTGGAGGGAGAAGGTGATGTTGAAGTTGCTCAGGGATATACAATTACTCAGTTTTGTGATAAAATGATTGATTTATTCCTAAATGAAAAACCCAAGTCAAAAGAATGGAAAAAGTACTTGGTTTTTAGAGAAGAATGGAAAAAATACAGGGATAGATTTTACAGTCGGTGTCAAACTCGAGCTGATTCAGAAGCTGATTCTCAAATGAAGGAGAAATTAATTAGCTTGGCTAGAAAAGTTAGGAAGGTATGTTGAATTTCCTTTAATGCATATTTCAGTTGATGGTTGAAAATGAGAAGTCAGTGTTTTACTTTGGAAAGGCTTTGGCTTTGAATATTTATGTGGTTTTAGTTCGGTAAAGGCTTTAGTTTTGGATATTCCCAAGTTGTTCTTGATCAGGAATGAGCCATTTGCAGATTGATGATGAACTGGAAAGGCATACTGAACTTCTCAAAGAGATACAAGATAACCCGAGGGATTTGAATGCAATCGTTACTAAGAGGCGCAAGGACTTCACTGGTGAATTCTTTCGTCATTTGACTCTGCTTTCAGAAGTTTATGATAGCTTGGAGGAGCGGGATGGTAAAGTGTCTTTCACTTAAGGCATTAATTTTATTTTAGCTCTATTGGTCTTAGTTATATGATGTTTGCAATTCAAGGGAATCAAAATCGTTTTGCAGCATGCTGCTGCATTCTGAACTTTTCTGCTATAAAAATGAAATTGGACTATATTTTCATGGCATACTGTTCAAGCTAAAGCAGTCAGGCTTGCAACCAATTATTAGTTAAAAGCTTGTTTCTGGGGGCGCTTAAGCCCTGAAGCTCAGTGCACACACTAAGTTATTAAGGTGTGTCTCGATGCCGACGGGCTTTGTTCTAAAGAGGGCCAGACTAAGGATAAGTATAGCTGGCGAAATGAAATATCAATTGTTAAGGAATCATTATGGACGAATATGTCAGTGATTACGAACTGAGATTAGGAAGTTAGAAATTTAGAATAAGATGGATAGTCACCAGTATCAATCTAAATTAGAAACCTAAACTTGCTCTTTGCAGTAGAATTATAAATTAAGATGTTTTTTAATTAATTGGAATCATACTTTATGTAGTTCACTTAATTGCAGATTTTTATTTCGCTTTCTTGGACTCTGCATAACATATATTTCTAATTTTTGTCCTCATTTGCGCCTTTCTGCACTAAGGAGCTTGCTTTAATCCACTTCGGGCTTAAAGCCCCAATAGGCACAAAACTGATCAGCCTGTATAAGTCCTTTTTTCCCTTTCCTCTTAGCTCGAAGTCTTGTCTGTTCTAAGAGGTATCTAATGAGCATGTCATTCATTTTGTTTATTTATTTTATGATAAAGATCATGTTATTGATTTAGTGGTTATTTCACGTTATCATATTTTGTGAACTTTTTATGAGCAGCAATTGCCAGACTTGGGACTAGATGCTTGTCTGCAGTCAGTGCTTATGATAACACATTGGAGATTGTGGGAACACTAGATACCGCCCAGGCCAAATTTGATGACATCTTGAACTCTCCATCAATTGATGCATCATGTGAGAAGATTAAAAGCCTTGCCAAGTCTAAAGAACTTGACTCTTCTTTGGTCCTGCTGATAAATGGTGCTTGGGCTTCAGCAAAAGAATCCTCTACCATGAGAAATGAGGTATGGACTTTTGTAGTCTACTCCACTTGATTCACAAACAAGAGATTTCCTTGTTGATCTATTTTTTGAAGTGAAATGCTGAATTTCGTCATATGTTCAGGAACTTATAATTTGTCCAAACAGTGTTATGGACTAGACATTATTGTAATGTTGATGATGTTCCATAAACTGTTCTGGATTTGTTTTGTGTCTTAAACTTGTCAAGAAGATGGACTCTTTCATATTGCACATATATAAATGGTTTTCCTACTTCATTTTTTCTCCCACATCCATTAATGTGCTAGGAAATTTATAGTTTGTGCATTCAAGTTGTACCCTAGTGAAATAGAGAGAACTCGCACTTGTCAAATTCGGGATGTGCACTGTTAAGTTGCAACTTATTTAACCGTCCTAACCAAATTATGATACGGTTATATTTGTTTTAAGCACTTTGAGATTGTTGAAATGTGTTTTTTCGGTTATTGTGATGTTGAAATAGTTTTACATCATTGTTTGTCATGTTGGAATATATGGATTGGTGGAGTATGCCCATCAGGGCTTTAGGGGTGTCAATTTTGATCAATAAAAGCATATGGTATTCAAACTTAAGTTGGGCCATGTTACGTTTATTGACTCAATTCGTTTTAACTCATCCAAACCTGACGAGATCCAACCTATGTTTGATTCATGAATTGTGACGATCCCAAACTCGAGTTGGACTAGCTGGATTATGACTAGTTTCTTAATCCATTTTAATCCAAGCAAACATTGGGTGTGTTGGTCATGACCCGATTATTAACTTCACCCCTTTTAATGTGCCTCAACTTAAGTCAATCCATCTATTTGATACCCCTATTTGAATTTTCCTATTAGTAGTTCTCCTTTTTTCCTTGTTTTTAATTTCTTTTAAAAAAAGAAAAATAAAATATGACTGCTTTTCGTTTTTGGAGACTTGAGGATTGATGGTATGGATGTATATACAGGTTGGGGTATAGCCTAACC